AATTTTGCCAAGTGGGCCCATTCTTTTTCACTTGATTTGAATTTGCATTGTTGCCCACGTGTTTTAGCCTTGGCCATGTGTCCATGTCTTATTTTTATTATTTAATTTTATTTTTATTTGAATTAATTCATTTTAAATCAAATAAAATCACATAAATTCTAAGGCATTGATAACTAATGATTTTCTGGTTGTTTTAGGCTTTGATCACAGCTAGCATTACAATCAAATTCGTGTCAAGGTCATTATGCACAGGAAGATATGATTTGGATCAAATTTGGCAAGATTGTAAAGGCAAATCAAATCCACATCAAAATCATTGATAGAGGAAGATTTGGACAAAAGTTTGAACCCTAATACAATGCACAATACATAAGCAAGCGCAACATACAAGAATCAGGGTTGGAGATCACTTGTGGAGGCAGAACAAAAGTTGCAAAAATCACAAAAAAGCTTGAGATCGAAATCAAGGTTGGAGACATTTTTAGGGCTTGAGACTTGTCCCAATCGATTGCTGGCCATCTCCAGAAGCTAAACCAATCAGAATCACACATTTTTCAGCTTCCTAGAGCGCTGTAAGTGGTCCCCGAATCCGCCCCATTCTTGAAATCGATTTGTGTTATTCTTGCATCTACAACGAAAACTAATTGCATATTTTGATTCATCGTGCCATTTGCAGTCTTTTGGTATCATTTAATTTCATTTATCTAACATGTATTGTAATTCACCATAGCTAGGGTTTCAAGGTTTGGTTTAGGGATTTTCGTTTCAGGTAAAATCAGCCTTAGTGATGGCTATAGGTGTGACCGGAAGAAGAAGGCGAGTTTAACCATGGTGTCAGAAGGCATTTCTATGGCCTATAGAGGATTTTGGAGTGAGACAAGCTTGTAGCTACGGACTTCTGTCCGTTGGTATAGGTGGTTGTTCTTTTAGCCACGGTTGGGAGGTCAGGGATGATGCGTAGCATCCATCCATTGGGCAATTCAAATATTGCGCGTTTTTTATCTATTTTCTGGAAATTGTTTTTGTTTTTATATATATTATTATACTTGTATTATTATAACAAACAAAGCAGCACGCCCCAGTGGTGGCCACATAGGCGCTTAAAGACCCAAAGGCTGGAGGTCAGGGGTTCAATCCCTGCCTCTAGCAATTTTCCTTTTTCCAATTTCTTTCAGGCGATTAGGTGCGTGCACAGGCCAGATCTCCATCATACTCCCTCACCATCCAAGCGCCAGATGGCCAAAGGGCCAGATCTGGTGGTCAGATATTGAAGGTCCATCCTAAGCAAGTCAGCGCATGAGCATAGAATCACAAAAGTCCAAACGGACTAGCAGCAATTGGGCCTACAAAAATGCTCTCCACACCTCCAAAAAGGCTCAATTCTCTCCTTTTCTTTATATTTTATTTATTTAACTTAATTGCTTTATTTTTATTTTATTAATTTCTAACCAATAACAATTCTTCTTTTTTATCAAAAATATCATCAAAAATATTTTTATCCAATAAAATTTTAGAATTCCTTTTTTTTAATAAATACTAAATAATTTAATTAGGGCATTAATTAGAGAAATTTAATTTGTTTATTTGTAAATAAATAAAAGTAATTAGAAATCATTAGGTTTTAATTCATTTAATCATTTTTATTTTCTTTCTTAAAATATCAAAAATTCCAAAAATATGTCATTAATTATTATTTTTTAATTAATTTATTTAATAATTAATTTAGCTTTTAATTTTAGAATTTAATTTCTTTTCTTAAATGAAAAACAACAAAAAACCATTTTTTTTTAAAAATGGTCAAAACCCTAATTCACATTCGATTTAATTTCCCGCGCGCTTTATTTATTTTTATCATATTAATGTATCTGCTCCCGATTTGTAATAGATAATTAGGACATTTTATTCATTTTACCACTTTATTTTATTTTTTCAAAGGGTTGCTTTTGGCGATGTAAATACCCGACGCCTTGTAATTTAATTTCCGCACTTTAAATTCTGCCAATTATAACTGCTAGATGTTTGATAATAGGGTATGCATGACAAGGCTGAATGCCTAATCTTAAAATCAAATTAGATCACCCTTAGCATGTGCAAAGATAAAATAACTGAAAACAACACACTCGCACATGCACACTCCTAGGGTACACCCCACTTGGTTGCCTTCGTACACGGTCATTGAGTATAGGTCGTTTTAGAGGTCGTCCTCTTGTCTAAAAGATCATAGTTGCCTTGAAACGGTTGCTCGGATATTGTTGCCTCAAATAAATGATCTAAGACACTAAGGTTACCGCTAAGGCGTCCTAACATTGCTTTGGTGACCGTATGTCCCTCTTTCGAATTGACCCTAAAACTCCAACGACGTTGCTACCTACTCATTAATAGTGGGATAGCATTGTCTAAAGGAAATTAGCATAGAACGATTCTTTTTTTTCTTCGAGTAGGTAGATAGTTCTTAGATACTTGCTCATCCAAAACAATTTTTTTTCACACTTACACTCCTTTTCAAACAAAGTTTTCAAAACACTTCATTACACTCTTGAGGATAGAAGCAAGAGTTAAATCGAAGTTAAAACAAACTTTTCAAAACCCACGAGCACAAAGAAAACATTTTGAAAATGATGAGCAAGTACCTAAGAGCCCGTAGATAACTACGGATAGAAAGGGTGCTAATACCTTCCCTTTCTATAATCTACCCCCCGTACTCAGAGATAATCTCGAAAAAGGAATTTTTCTGTGCTTTTTTCCTTTCCTTGTTGGATAAAATAAAAGTCGGTGGCGACTCTTGCTTACCGCGACATTTTGCGAACACAAACGCAAAACGCAAACCAGCATTCCAAAAACAGTCAGTTCTTCCCACCGTATCACAATAACCGACGTAAAATCTATAAAAAATAAAGGTGCCTTTTTTATTGCAAAAAAAAAAGAAGATAAAAATTAGGGAGTTGTTATCTCAGTTTTACTGAAAACCGAGGTAACATGTCTGACGTAAAATCTATGAAAATTAAAGGCGCGTTTTTGGTTCCATATAAAATATTAAATTGCATGAGGGAACAGATTAATTTTTTTATCAATAAAACAAGGCGCTCCCATTACATGTATCCGCAGTTTTTTTATTGTACGAGGTAAAAGCTTCGTCATAAAAATGTTATTTGTTGTAGTGCGAATGAGAAATTACTAGATGATTTAGAACGTCCACCTCAAATTCGTTAAAAATTAAGGAGTTGTTATCTCGGTTTTACTGAAAACCGAGGTAACATGTTCGACGTAAAATCTATAAAAAATATAGGCGCATTTTTGGTTCCATATAAAATATTAAATTGTATGAACTGGATCTCAAACCCCGAACATATATTTATGTCAGTTTTATTTAAAACCGAGGGAATAGATTAATTTTTTTATAAATAAAACAAGGTGCTCCCATTACATGTACTCGCAGTTTTTTTATTGTACGTGGTAAAAGTTTTCTCATAAAAAATGTTATTTGTGAATGAGAAATTACTAGATGATTTAGAACGCTCACCTCAAAGTCGTTAAAGAGATTACACACCCATCTTACTTTTTGCAGATCCTTTTAGCTCCTTCTGGAGGAAGCACTCTCCAATCCGAAGAGGGACCCACTTCAATAAACGCGTGTTCATACTTCGCTCATTGACAAAGGCATAAACGGTATCCAACGTCTTTTGATCCATCCACACGAAAGAGTTATCTTTTGTTGTCTTCCGGAATCTGAGTTAAGAGTTGTTCATGTCGCAAGATATTGCCAACACATAAAAGAAATGATCGTAAGTAAAATCACATAAAGACAAACTTTCAGGCCCCTGCCATAGTTCATCTATTGTAAGAAAATTGGCCAAACTACGAAACAGAAAATATTAAAAATTCACAGTTCTTATCTTAAAAAACCCTGATAAAACGAAGCAAGTATGAAAAGGAAAGAAAGGTCCAGGTTCAAGAGTTATCTTGAAAAAGATGAAATTAGTGACCCACTTGCTGTATGTGACGTTAAAAGACGTAACACAAGTACATCGGAAATAACGTTTGATGGGAGAAGATTCACGAAGACTAAGGAGATCACAAACGCATGAGAAGAGCTCTTAAAGATCATAAATGGCGAAAAAGGAGAACATAGTAACTCCATAACTCTTTATATCTCTCCCTATAGGAAGATGAGTCATGCAATTCAATGTTAGGAAGCGTGAACAGCACCGCCATCGATCAAGATCTTTTTGCGAACTGTTCAAGAGTACTCAAATACCCTAGTACTAGAAGTGTTAATCTTATAGGTCCATTCTCTCTCCACCGCACCCAAAAATTGCTTCGTCGCACTGAGTGCTATTCCATCACTTTATCACCTATCTCTAGCTCATGAACAAAATAGATTTTATCAACTCTAAGAAGGGCAAATGCTCGGTAATGAAGGAACCAGGAAAGTACGGATGGCAACCATATAACAGAAATGTTTCACGAATTTTAATGAATTAAAATGATACCAAAGGAAATTGGGCACAGGAAACCCAAGGATAAATTAGGTTCGAAACTGTTAACAAAATAGAATCTTAATCTGAATGAACTTGACAGGTTTGAAAGTGCTTGGGTGGATACTTGTCTACAGTTGTCCAACAATAATAATATGATTCTCATATTGATATAAAATAAGTTGTTAGAATGTAAACTAAAACCCTTTCAATTCCACACAACCAACCATCACCATCACCACCACCATCACCATCAGGTCTTGTAATTTATTTCATCATTCTGCTTATTTCCCACTTGAGAGAGGAATGTTATTAAGCTTCATTAATTCAAGATTATTATAATGTTATTTCTCTGTTTCTAATTCTCGCCAATTATGAATAGAATCTTTTTGAATAGGTGAATCCAATCCCATTTTGGCATTACCTTGTCTTGTTTGTTATAAATATACTAGTATTTTTTCATATCAATAAAACATTGAAACAAAACAAGATTACTCTCAATTCTCAGAGGTTTCAAATAAAAAAATGGAACCTACCCAATTGATTTCTCAAGAGTGGGATTCTCTTAGTGGACAGTACACAGCTGAAGAAGCTGATTTCATGACTCAGTTCCTTGGTGCCAATACCAACTATTCATGTTTTCCTTCAAATGTTGCAAATGCTAGTCATAACTTTATGTGTTTCTCCCAAGGGAGTAGTAGCTCAAGCACTGATTATAGGGATCACATCTTTTCTACCATCACACCAACTAATGGACCTTACTTCTGTCATCCGGCAACAGACATTGATTCATTCTCCATGTTTCTTAGTCCACAATATTTGGATGATTACTTAATCAAACAGATAAGCTATGAAGGCACTGATCATGAAAGGTCATGTTTAGAGCCATTGAAACTGCCTCATTCTCCTCACAATAGCTTCCAAGCTAAGAGGGAGCATGAAATGATGATGCTTGTTTCTGAACCTTCTTCAGAAGAGGATAGAATCAAAAGATTTAGAAGCTCAAATGCTTCCATGGAGCTAAGTGAGGGAACATGTCCAAAAGAACCTCAAGTGTCGAATTCATTATGTAGAAAATCAAGAGCAGGAAAAGTTGCTGCCACTGATTCTCAAAGCATTTATGCTAGAGTAAGTCCTCTTGGAAATGTGTTTCTTTAGTGCATATTTTAATTCGCAAATAACAAATATTTCATCTTGTGTTGTGTAGAGGAGAAGAGAAAGAATAAATGAAAGGTTAAGAATGTTGCAAACACTTGTCCCAAATGGAACTAAGGTGGACATTAGCACCATGCTTGAGGAAGCTGTTCAATATGTCAAGTTTTTGCAGCTTCAAATTAAGGTAACTACATTTTCATATAACCTTCCCATTTTCTATTTCTTACATTCAAAAAGATAAAGTCTAATTCATTCTTGTTTCTTTATTTGGATGAAATGAAACAGGTTCTAAGCTCTGATGATATGTGGATGTATGCTCCATTAGCTTACAATGGAATCAACATTGGATTGGACCTCAACTTTTCTTCTCCAACTGACTAAATGAAGATATGATCATGATAACATAGCAATTCAAGAGGATATAGCATTTTTTGTTTGTGATCATGATATTTAGTTTATTTGTGTTATTGAGACTAATTCATGTTTGTTCATTTTTACTTAAAGGTCAAACAAATATACAAATTTAATTTCAATAGACATTGCATATTAAAGTAATTCAAATGGCTTTAAAAATTGTGAAAGGAAATTGGTAAGGCAAATTATAATAATCGATCAGTTTATATTCTACAAGTGAAATAAAAATAATGAAGCCCAACAAATTCAACTAATATTAAAATGGACTTCTTATTTCTTTACTTGATGTGATTTTATATAGATAAAATCATCCAATATTGTTAGAGTGAAATGGTTGACTAATAAAATGTCAATTCGTTAAATAAAACAAAACCAAAAAGAGTTTTACTCTGTGTTTTAAAAATCGGGCTTGTCTGTCAAATCGAGAATCGGTCAGATAACCGATCTAATTCAATTGTTAGATCGCTTATGTCATTGAATCAGTGCGAATCGGTAAAACTCGATATAAACTAGAAAAATCGACGGTTTTTCTAAACATCAGGTTTTTTTAAACCGGTGGTTTAATTGCATTTTTTAAATTTAAAACGACGCCGATTTTATTATTAAAATAAAAAATGAAAGAAATGAAATTAAAAAAACAAAAAAAAACAAAATAATGATATCGTTGACAGGAAAGCGGTTGCGAATGCAGTTGATTTTAATGCGGGTGATTTTAATATTGATGAAGGAGTTTTCAATATTGAAACAATTTTCTCTCCTTTGAACTAAATTTGATACACATTTGAGTTATTTTATTAAAAATTATTTAATTAGGTTATGTTGCAATTAGACTTTGTTTGCAATTAAATTTTATAATTTTGTACTATTTTATTATGTGTGATACCTTTGTTTAAAATTTGAATTTAGATTATGAATTTGTGAATTTATGATATGATATTTTTAAAAAATTTAAGTGTTAGTTATATTTTGTATAGATTGAATCATCCGGTTCGACCAATTTTATACCTATATAATTTTATTATAAAGACCGATTTATTCAACCGAGTTATCTGGTTTAATCCGGTGTGGTCATGCGGTTCGACCAGTGACCCAGTGATTCGACCAACAAACCAGTGACCCAGTACCCTCACCGGTTTAATGATCGTTCTGGTTTTTAAAACACTGAATTAAACCGGTCATTTAATAAAACAAGAAACTGAGGGAGAAACAACAAAGTAATATTTGGTTGTGATATAGGTGGAAAGTACAAGGAAGCGGTTAGTGCAAAACAGAGTGCTTGTAAAAAAGGTGGTCTTCCGTTCAAAATCATGCCATCATCGTCTAAAGATGGTTAACGATGAAAGATTGATGTAAAATATGGACTTCATAATCACTGGTTATCTGATATATTTAAAGATCATGTGTTTGTTGGATGTCTAAGTGAAGATGAGCGCAAACATGTTGCTGATTTGACAAAGCGTCGTGTTTGACCTAGACACATACTTATGTCATTGCAAAAACAAGATCCTAGGAATGTCAATCAAATCACACAAATATATAAACATAGGATTATTGATCGTACCTTATCAGAAGGGATCATCAAGGCCCACGAGTTTTAAGTTGAGCAACGGTTGAATGCGAAGTGGGGGGGAGTACTTGCAAGACACTCTGACGTCAAAGTAAGATTCAGAGCAAATGCAAGTAAAGTAAGGTAGAATGAATGAATGAATGGATACCTGACCCTCTCATGTGAGAGGGTATTTATAGCCCCCAGGGCTAGGCCAAGATCCATGTAGTGGACCAAGTGATTTGGGCCCAACAACTAGGACTGCCAGGATTTATATGGGTAATAGGGTCCAACACGTGGCCCCTTCCCTGGTAAAACGCCCCGAGAATATAGCGACAGTGGACCCGTTATTCTCGGAGGGAAGGTGGTGGTTGATGGTGACTAGGGACACGTTCTCTAATGGGCGCGTGGGAGAAATCCCCAATGGCTATCTGACTTGGGCCTGAAGCTATTGGGCAATAGGTAGAGGCACTGGACTGGGCCTCCCTAACGGTGGGGCAAGTGTCGACCCAATCCAGAACAATTATGATACAAAAAATAGATCAAAGGTCATATACCTAAGATATAACATTTTTTAAGTTGATAGACGACGTTGGTTATGTTTATCGAATTAGAAAAAGAGAATACTCAGATGTTGTGAGATATAGTTTTTAGATACACCAGATTCAGTTAAATTGTTGAGTATTTTAAATATTGTGTCGATTATAGATAACACATGCAAGACAAACAAATACAAACAACCTTTATTTGAAATTGATGGTATGACATTAAATGAGTTGACATTTTATGTTGCATTTGCCTATATAAAACTTGAGCAAATCGTGAATTTTTGTTGGTTATTTATAAACTATAACAATTGTTTATTAAGGAAGAGTTATGTCCACAAGTGATTTCGAGTAGTAGATATATTGCTTTGATGAAACAAATTAATGTTGTGTTTCCAAGGACAGTTATTTTTACTTGTTGATTTCACATAAAAAATAGGTCCAAAATGCAAGCAATGTGTATTGTGTTAGAACAAGTTTGGTTCTACAACTATCTTTGAGTTTTGATGATAACAAACCCAATTTGTATAGAGAATAATTTTGTACTTTAATCTATTTGTTAAGAATTCATATCAAAAGAAAATAGATTAAGATTCTGAAAGAGTAAAGAATGGATGAATCGATGTCTAAACAAAGCATGTTTGAAGTCACATCTAAGCAAAATATCAATATTTTCAAAATCTGAAGCAAGCAGACTCTTAACTGTAGATGCACTTTGAACCAAAGGAAGGAAACAAAGGTGTGTTTAAATGAAAGCAAAGCATCTGGATTATCAAGTCTATATCTCTACAAAAATGTATTCATAATGGCTATGAGAAAAACTCTAATATTTTAAGCCTCTGAAGCCTTAGGACTCTGAACTCTATAGACTCTAAAGTCTCATTTTCGCCAAGTTCTGAAAAAAGACTCTGAACTCTACTCAAGCTTCATCAACTTATATTCGAAGCCTCTGACTAGAAGATAATGACTGAAAGAAGAATACGTGGCAAGAGTACAACCAATACATATCAAATATTCCTTCCACTACTCTGAAAATTTGGAAAATGGATTCTACTATTGTACTAACCTGCTTTCTCTCGTTCCTCACTCCACTACATGCTGCAAGTAGGGATGTCAATTGGTATCTATTAACAGGGATACCTATGGGGATTATCTGTTTGGAGCATAAAAGTTGGAGATTTTTTCCTCCGCGGTGATGGGGATGGAGGGAAAAGTTCTCCCGATGACACTTTAGGGCGGGGATTGAGAAAGTATCCTCTGCTCCGTAGATTCCCCGACTCCGACCACATTATTTAACTTTTATATTTTATATATTATATAATTATATAATTTTACATTAAAATATATTAATATGTTAGAAAATGAAGAGTCATTAGTGGATTATTTTATTTTTTATGTTTTATATTGTATTATCTCACTATCAAGTACTCAACCCTAGAAAAGTGCATCAAATATATAGATTGTACACTCCCTCTACTCATTTTCTTTTCTCAATTATCTTTGTCTCATCCATTCATCATCTCATATATTCTCATCATCTTCACAACAATCACTCTCATTTGTTCATAGTGGTCATGGTAATTACTCTTCAAATTCACTTTACTTCCATTAGTAACATGTTTTTCATTCAATTAATAAATTAATAGTTATGTATTTGCCACACTCACACATAATCAACCACTTGTTCTAGATAATAGCATTATTGTGGTAGTAAATTAGCGGAAGCATGGTAGCAACAAGTTTTGTTAAAAAAAATTTACAAGAAAAAATATTAGCATTAGTAAGTGCTTTTGCTTTTTTTTTTGTTATTGATGCAAGATTTATTTTTATTTTTAAAAAAGAAAGATGGTAAATATATGTGTTTTTTTAAAAGGAAAAAATAACAAAATATTAGTGTTATAGTTTTGATAGAAAAATATAGAAATTTTCTTAAAATTCGATCTCTATGGATCTCCATAGGAATCTGTGAGGATGGGGATAGGGGAAAATATTACTATGTGGAGGGGATTGGGTATGGGTATGGGAAATATATTTGGGGGTGGAACGGAGAGCGGGGAAGCATCCTCCGAATATTCCCTGCCATGTTGATGTAACACCCTAATTTAACCCCCGCGTAATTATAAATTAAATCAGAGTAATTCAAATCATCAAAACATAATTATGATGCCATATCTTACAAAAACATGCACGGATTCCCGGAAAATATAAATGATGCATAACAAGATCATAGATGAAGTGAAACAACACAACATATTGTTCAACTTCAAATTTTATTAAGAAGCAAAATGAAATCATAATTTAGAATATAAAGGAATTCTTCAACAACAATAATCCATGTTTTCTCAAACATCAAGAGTTCTTAAGACTCCGCCAATAAATTAATATAAACAAAATGAAAGTAGCGTTCATCCCTCTTGGTGTTAGTATCAGAGCACAACACCGACTCGAACTAAATGACAAGTAACTTCATCTACTGCGGATCACCTACATGTTATCCACGTAGAGGTAACATTCAAACAGAAGGGGTGATATATCATAACTATATAAAATAATATATAATAAAAAGTAGATAGCAATTTACTATGCATAGTCATACATCCTTCATCTCAAAACTCCATATCATTTTACCATAATCATTCGGCAATATCCAATATACAACATCAACATAATACAACATCAAGTTAAAATTAATAATGTTATGCAATGAGACTGACACCGACTCAATGCATGTGATACCAATAGGGCATAATCCCTCTCCATAATGCCGAATAGGGCAACAACAGGGCATAAGCCCTTACCATAATGCCAACACAGGCCAACAACAGAGCATAAGCCCTTATCATTGAATGCATGTAACATCGACATGTAACAACATA